TTACCGAGTCTGCTTTATTCTAAGAGTTGCGGCCATTGAATCATAAATTATGTGATTATTTCCTTTAAAACTAATTTGTGCTTCCTTAAACTTTCAAATCATTAAATAGAAGACATGTGCCTACTGCTTTTTTTTAAATTGAACTCTAAGAATAACTTCGTCTACATATTATTGTATTCACTGTAAAAAGAAAGAATCCTAATATTTTTTCAGTGAAACTCTTTTTGGTTACGCGACATCTTCGACTCGCTGATTTCATTGGCATTTCTTGATTAGTTTTCTGGTATAGAATATCGATAATCTGAACTAAGATAATAAAAAAAAGTACCGAAAAAAAACTGGTATTAATCTTTACTTAATTTTGATATATCTTCAATCTATGCATGTTTGAAATAAAAATGACTTCAATATCGTCAAGCATTTGTGAAAGAAAACGATGCAAAACATTGTAAATGTTAAAAAGATCAATCAATAGAACAAAAATATCGGTCTTTTGATAAAGAAAATTTAACATATCTATTCTTAATTTGATATCTAAAAAATTTCTTGTTAGATACAACAAACTTGAATGTCTGGAACTCATTATCAATTACATTATGGAATAATAGAAAGTTATATTTTTTATTATAATATTCAATTGAACATTCCATTTTCTATCGTTGATCTATATGCAAAAATTCTTCATGTATTCTAATTGAAAACTTTCAAGTGTGTCCAAGCGAAACTCTAACAAATATAAAAGACTATTATTAATGTGTCAATTATATAATACAAACATGTATGTTTCTACATCTATCACTTTTTTTATGTTGAATGATTTAACCTTCACTCTCAAAGAGAACTTATGTATGAATGATTACCAATCTTTTCGTTCTTTTTCTTCTTCTTGTTCTCCTACAACTAAACATTTTTTACTACAACTCGTTTTTGCAATCAAAAGAGCATAACTAGTAAGAGAAAAGAAAAGAAATCATCTTTTATTTGTACGAAACATACTTGCATAAATTCGAGGACGACATTTTTTTTGAGAAATATTTTTCATTTCTAGTTATTTACTTAGATTGAATTGACAATGAAATTTCTGAATTTTAGATGCGTTATGGAATGGATGATAATGTTCAACCTATTTTTAATGATATTCGAATTGATCTTCGGGGTAATGATTTGAATAATAATTCGTATACAAATGAAAATGATCAACAATCACACAGTTCAGTACCAAGTCGAATATCACGATATTTAGGTAAAATAAAATAAAAATTCAATTAAATTTGTTTCTTTGTTTTCAAGAATATCCTCAAATTCGACCAACAAATCCATTTTATTTAAGTCAATCAACATTTAAAATACAAGGTTCAAATCCACTATCATCAGTTTCAAAAAGTTCGGCAACATTAGTTAATCGTCGTCAAAAATTTGATCCTCAAGCACCACGTCGTCCATCTGATTGGCGATGGTTGTCTATCTTATGTATTATTCTTTTCTTTCCACTTGGTATGTTAATCCAATGAATGATGTCTTCATTTAAAAAAATTTCTTCATAGGTTTATTTGCTTATGCATTTGCTCATAAAGCACAAGTTAAATTCCGTAATGGATTTATACTAGATTCGCATAAACTTAATAATTATGCTTTAATTCTTTGTATTTTATCAATATTATGTGGTATCGCATTAATTATTGGTCTTCTATTTGGTTTTGACGCTTGGCCACGAACAAATGGATAAAATGAAACTTAGGTTCTTTTTTTTTTGAACAGTATTTGTTTAGGAAGAAATAAATCAATCTGTTTTTCGAGTATTTGCTATTAAGCATGGATTATTTTAGATTATTATTTGTGTTCAACATCATGTCATTTTTGTTAAAAAAACGATTCGTAATTTATTTGTTTTTGTTGTTCAGCTACAATTGCATTGTCAACAATTGTCAGTATATTTGCTTATAAACGTACATTGAATACAAAAGCTAATGATAGTTATATATGAACGACGTAATCGAGACAAATGATGGGAATATGTACAATCATCATTGAAACTAAAATTTGATGAAGCTGAAGATAATATACACAATAGTTTAGCGTAAGATTGAAATAACTTAGAACCATAATTGGATTATAAACAAAACAAAAATAATTCAGAAAAAAATGGTTATTTCTAGACATTATACAACATGTGTTTACTAATAGGATTTTTCTTGTATATGGTTTTTCTTTTGTTTGAATTTTTTATGAAAACAACGAAGTGCTTCGATCATACTTTTTCTTTTGTAGTGTTTTCATAGTTCATATTACTGACCAACGACTTTATCTTATACGCTTTTTTTGTTTTGAATATTCATATAAAGTTATGAGAAAGAAAACCTCAATGTCAGTATTAATATTTGTGCTTTTGATCATGATGTGCTTCCCATGAGTAGTGTAGAAAGAATGAAATACTTGCGTTCTGTCTTTTGGACAGCTTCATAATGCTTCTAGAAAAAAACACTCGTCAACAACAACAAAAAAATAGTAAAGGACACAGCAACGTATAGTAAGACACATTGATTTCGTTCATTTTTTAACACCGAATTGAATCCAATCATACGTAAAAAAGTTATTATTACAAACTTGTTTCTTCAGACTAAATTCTGATAATAGAATTCTATGTAGACATGTAAATGCTTAAAATACTATTTCAAATGATGCACTAGAATGCAGTACCACCGATTAAAAACGTATTACTTCTTGTATAAACAGGTTTTAACATATTGTGTAGACAAAAATAAGGATTAGATTTGTGTTAATACATTCATTTACAAGATAGACAAACATATTTGTAAGAAGAAACTCTTAGTTCGCTATCCTATCGTCCAGTCAAGTTATACTCTACATACATCAGTTATTTTGTTCTTATTCGAGTTAGTTTTTACTTCTGCTCTTTTTCACTTAAATTCCGAGAACCATGCAAAATCCTTGTATATCATTTCAAAGACAATAAAAACATTAATTGACTTTGAAATGACAAAGATAGACAAAATAATATATATAATGAACCATAGGAATCTTTCAACTTTTTATAGATCAGTGCACTACTACAATAATACAATGAACAGTAGAACATGTCATCTGGAGAGATAAAAAAAAAGTAGTATGAAATTACTTAGCTTCTTATTTTCTTGGTTTTTGTGGATTCTGATTTCAGAATAGTTTTTGTCATTGAAATTGTATAGCGTCAGTGAAATATTGACCCCTAGAAAAATCAGAAGTAGATGAGCGTAGAACAGTTGTGCGATGTCATATTTTTCTAACGAATATATTCATTGTCATATAGATGTCAATAACTAAGTTACAGCTGTTCATAGAAATATTCTAATGTCTTTTAATGTGTCCTCGAAAAAGAAATAAGAATTTTTTAATGAAGCTTGAAATACGACTTCTTAAACGTACGATGAATGAAAATTAAAATACTACAAGACTTATGCTTCTCTCTACCCTAAAACAATTTTTGTCTCCTGCTGAAGATTAATTGAAAGATCCTAGAATAATTTCTATCAACAGCTGCAACTTAGTTATTGACATCTACTTGACCATGAATATATTCGTTAGAAAAATATGACATAATAGAACTTTCCTACGAATCAATATTTCTTGGAGTCTCTTATTTATTATTGTACACTACATCTTATTATGTCTTTTAATTTAAACTTATGTTATTATTTACGAGTTTTAATATGTTTATATGAAAAACGCTAGCAAATGTTTTTCCTAAGATTGTTATGAAGAAGTAGAAATGAAAGGCAAAAGCCACGATTACAACGCGAATTGTCGGATATTGTTGACTGTACAAAATCATTTAAGAAGCAGTAAAATACAAATTATTGCAACATGTTAATTTCACATTTCTGATTGCATTGGATTATTCATTAAAAATTATACTTTAATTTTCCTAAAGTTAACACAAATTTTTGCATTATTTGCACTTTAACATTGTATTATATATGTGTATTACATCAGCCATTTGATTATTAGATGAATGAAACATCCATCATAATGAGTCTTGTTCTGCTCAAGAGAACTTTTTTAGCTTTCATCACACTATTCTTGAGATGTAATATGTAGCTTTTTTTGATTGATAGTGGATAGAAGAATGAATAGTTGTGTTGAAATAAATAATATTGTTGAAATCAGCATAAAAGTATGGGTCGATTTCTATACATTTCAAAACATTTTTCTGCAAATTATTTATCGTTTTCGGTCCGAAAACTGTCTATTATCAATCAAAAAAAAAGTTACATATCATGTCTCAAAAATAGTATGTTGGATATCCTTACTCTTAAATGACCTAGTTTTTCTTGAGTTGAAAAAGTTCTGTTTAGCTGGATATGACGCATTTCGATAGATGTGTTGTTAATACAATAATCAAATGGCTGATGCAATACATATACGTAATACAGCTTCAAAATACTAATAATAGAAACTTTGTATTCGATTTGGAAAAAAACAAGCTTATTATAATAAATTTTTTAATCGTACTTCCCCTTCATTTATTTTTTGAAAACGATATTGCAAATTGTTAGTCTGTATTCATGACTAACTGTGCATTTAACATGCATTGAAATCAATATTTGAATGACAATATCTTGAATCTATTATCAAAATGATTAGAAAGTCGTAATAATTTATTCTATACATGATTGAATTTAATTGTATCTTAAAAAACAACAAATTTTTTGAAGTACAATTTTATGTGCTCGAATCTTTTCACTTAATATTTGTTTTTTTTTATTGAGTAAAAAGAAACGAACAAGTAAAGACAAAGAAAAAAACAATTTATATAAGTTCAAAGATATACATTTCTTCTTCTAGTATTATAACTCACAAATCTCAAGAACTTAATGAAAGGATAAGAGAATAAACAAATAACAGCCAAAGAGAATGAAAGACACAAATACATGCTACATATAAAAAAAAACAAGCCAAGAAAAATCAACTGTTTTTGTTTTGTTGTTTATATCTTATATGTTTTAATAAAATCTCATTTCATTAAAATTACAGTCATGTGGTAATGAAATAGTTGTTTGTGGTGTATAAGCATTGTCAGTTTCTAATGTATAATTTTTTCCTTCATTATTATCCCAATGTTCTTGTCCATTAACACAATAACGAATAACAAAATCAATTCTATCAACATCATTTGGAATATCAATACGAAATTCAAATTGATCTATATTACGAAAATCATTTGAATGACAACAATGTTGAGCTTCATAGTCATATACATTTAACCAACGATTAAATGTATATTTAATAGCTACATTTTTATAATAACCATTATTTGTAACCCATACTGTACCATAAAGAAATTGTTCACCGGTCATTTCTGATTTTAAACGTATAGCAGCATGTTCTAATTTAACTTGTAATTTCCATATTTCATGTAAATATATATCAGGATGTTCGGAATTTGGTTGACGATATAAACAAAAAAATCTTTTTGGTATTCGTATATCAGGAATTTGTTTTGAAGTTAATGCAACATCAAATGACCATGGTTTATGTTCTAAATTTAATGATTTTGGTAGATAAAGATTATTTTTTAAAAGTGAAAAATCTTTTGTATCATCATCAGTTAATGATTGAATATATTGCACTTGTGCTAATTGACGACCAACAGAATCAGCAAAACGAACCATCTTTTTTGTTGTTCCAATAGAACCTGTACGTTTTAGATTGCTGCTAGATGCAGATGAATTAGGTGTTACTGAGGTTGGTGAGGGAGGTGGTGTATAGAGTGGTGAAGAAATAATTGTTTCAGAAGGTACAAAAAATTGAACAGTATTATCAGATGTCGACTCTTCAGATGTTGAAGATTGTTGACGTTGTGCACGAGACCAAAATCCTAAGATAAATATTGTAGAAATATTAAATATAAGTTTTCTTTACTTACTTCTTGAACGAAATCGACTAGGAGAGACAGTTTTATCATTTGAATCTCCATTTTCTATTACATTATCTTCTATTTTCTCATTATTGTCATTTAATGAGAGATTGTCTATTGAAATTTGTTGTAGATTTTCATTAATATCATCTATTTTTTGTTCTTGATTATTATTATTCTCAGTTTGTTCAATTGAATCTGTTTGTAAAGTAGTAAGGTCAGTTTCATCATTCGATGAAGATTGTCGTGTTAATGATGTACGTCGTTTTCGCCTGCGAAAATGACGTTCAATATTTAATAATGAATTTGTATTTAATAGATTATCTTCATTTAAATCATCAATCATTGTTGATGCTACAATACTGTCTAATGTATTACTAAAATTAAAATTAAATAAAAAATTATTTTATTTTTTTTTCTTTAATTTATATAATACAAACTGAATTTTATCTTCTATAATTATTGGTTCAATTTGATCACCATTGAAATTATCTAATTCGTCTTCTTCTTCTCTTTTAGTTTCATTTGATGATAAAAATGTATTCGTTAGAGGGAAATTTATTGAATTAGTATCTAAAAATTTCTGTGATGATGAATGATACTTAGATATTTGTGGTTCAGATGCAAATTTTTGAAGAAAATGTAATAAATTTGTTGAATCTTGTTTAGAGAAAAATAATCCTTCGTTAGCTGTATGACCGATTGATGCTAGAGTTTCATTTTGTGTTGGTGTTTTTTGATGTGTTTGTTGTTGAACAAGTATATGTGCCATCGTTGAATTCTCTAATGATGGCAAATCAAATTGAGAATCAAAATTATTTAAAGATGTAGAAGAATGATTTTTATCTTCCTAAAACAGAAACAAAAACAAAAAAAAAAAAAAAGAAAATATAATTTTGATAAAAAAAAAAATTATTACTTTCTTACAAGGTTATTATGTTCTAGACAGATATCATTCATACTAAGTGTCTCTCTCTTTTAAAGGTTAAAAAACCCAAAGAAGAAGAACGAACGAATATGTTTTGAATTTTTTTTATTTCAAGTCATTTACATAACGATTGACCAATGTAATATGAAGAAGACTTTTATCAGAGCTTTTATTGTTATTGTCATTTTTTTTTCTTATGTGTGAAAAAAAAAAGAAGAAATTGGTTGGATAAATGACTACATGCATCGGTCAATAGTTCATTCTGTGAGTGTTTATCTAATCGCGTCTCCCCCTCCTGTTTTATATATTTGTTCATCATCTATCATGTACTATGTATGTATGGTTAAAGAATGATAGATTATTAACAACAATTCCATCTTATTAACTAACTTATGATATATGATCGAAGAAGAAAACAAGAGAAAAGTAGAGCAAATTCTATGTTAGACGAAAATAAAAGACCATTAAGATATATCTTTATTTGTCTATTCTATCCTTCTGTAGCTATATTATTCGACCTTGAAACTATCTAGGTTCTATTCTTACCGAAAAATATTGGTCAAAACAAATCAATTACACTAATGTTAGATAATTTATGTTGCAAAACTATAGTGTATGTGTTTATGGATAAACTAGAAATTATTTTCTTCATATATTTATATGTATATATGTTAAAGGGTGACGCAGTGTACGAAAGAGAAGGCTGAGAAGCTGAGAGAAAAAAAAATCAGCGTATTTTCTAGAGGTCTGTTTATTTACTATTTCGAATTTATATTTGTCATCCATGTAAAGAATGTAGTAGAAAAAAAGAGAAAAAGAAATTGTCTTCACCTCATTCTCTCTCTCTCATATTAAGATAAAAAACAGAGAAAAAGAAAATATAAGAAAAGTTCCTGGGTACATTGTGGCCGAATTCTGATTTATTTCGTCGATGGGAAAAAAAACTTAGGCAAATAATTATTAATGAATAATTATTTCAAAGAAAGATTATCTTTGGATATGATGAAATATGATAAAAACCAAAGAAAAAAAAAAAATTTTTTTTTTCAACATCAATAGATATATATCAGTTGTCTGGTTTAGTCGTCATTACGAAAAAAGAATTAGTAATTATACACGTCTATATCGATAGCTTCTAGTTATAGTTTTAACTATTTATATACATATATATGTATCTATATCATGCGCTTGCTGTATGATCTGAAGCGTGGCCAATGCATTATCATGATCATACAAATTATAAACATGAAAAGAAAAGAAAATGTAATAAATCATTGTTTCTTATATATATATAGAACTTGAAGTTCAAGGTAAACTACAGTATGGGCACACATTCAACGAATGCTACATTGAAGACTATGGTTCGATAATTTGTATATCTAGACATGATAAAAGCCCGATATGAATGGCCTTTATAAAAAAAAAAAACCTTATAGGATATACATGCTGAAAAAAATCACAGCTTTACAACGTATAAACAGTCACAAACGAGACGATAATACACCTAATTCAAACAGGTGTTTTGTCTTTCTATGTCTCTTACAATGACAGATTATTTGTTTTTTTTTTCTAAGTCTAGGATAGAATAAATGGGTGTATCCTTAACGAATGATACGAAAGTAAATGAAACTTTAAATGTTATGAGAGTCACTTGAAAAAAAAAACTACTAGTTGAACAAACAATAGAGCGCATTTTATTTCGTTTTTTTTATCAAGTTGCATTTGTACTATTAATTTCTGTTCTGTTTAATATACGTGAAATATGATATTACTTTTTTTCATTTCTTAAGAAACCGAAAGTAATATATCAATTATATCTATTTACTCAATCAATATTGCATGGTTCCTTATATTTTTTTTTTCTATTCATTAAATATACATATTTTGTTCGAAATAAGTTTTCGGTTTATTACATCTACACCTCATCGTATAGATTATGCATATCAATTATACATCTACTTATCTCGATGAAATATCTGTCAAATATTACTTAATTTTAAAGGTCATTTATCATTAATTAATAAAAAAAAAAAAAAACATAAAATAAACCATAAATAAGAATATCTATCGGTTAGAGACTCATTCTCGTACATTGTCTTATATTGTATTGACTAATATTTGTTTGTGTTGATACCATAGTTAGCAAGAGAGAAAATAATAGAAGAGAGGAAAGAAAAACGTTCTTTTATTGTGGAGGCTATTGCGTATGAAATAATTTTACATCATCAAGTCGTTTTCATAGTGTGTAGTATGGGTTAGTCGGTACTATAATAACAGAAAAAAATTTTTTTTTTTATTTCTCTTTTACTTAATAGACATACTTAAACTATTCAGTCTGTCACATGAAAAAAAAATGAAAAGACAACAAAATTTTTATTTGAATTAGTTTTACGCTGTTCTTTTTTTATAATGAACTCGTCGACACCAAACTATTACTACTAATATTAAAATAAACTAGCTTTTAAAATGTCTCTTAAAATTCTTTCAACCTCTGATGTTTTGTGAAAAATTTCATTTGCTCACTTTAACTATTTGATTTGATGATGAGGTTACTATAGATGATAATGAAGATGCTGATCGAACTAATGTTATTTGTCGTATAAAACACGTTAATCGTGTTGCTATATTATGTAGACTAACAAATACCATAGTTAATGCAAAACGAATTTTGTTTAAGAAAACTTGACACCAATAGATAATAATACGATTCAAAATTGATAATAATGACTATATTTCGAAAAGATGTGATTTTGATTTTGTTTTTTTTTTATTTTAGTTTAAGAACAAAAAAAAAATCTTATGATAACATACATCATTTTTTGTTATGGTTCGTTCATTTTCATTGTTTTCTTCTTCGTTTGTATGAATTTTAGTTGATGTTTGAATTGAAGTCGATGATGTGTCAAGTTTATTTATCTTATGTTGAGAAGTAATTAGTGATGGCCACGACATGTATTATAATTAAGATAATATTTTCTTTTCTTTCTTCAATTTTTAACTTATTATTCATGCAAAGTAAAATGTATTGAGTTAGCAAACATGAAAAGTTTTTTTTTTCTTTGTGAATCTTTGTACTGCTTCACCTCGCCGTATGATCCATTACCAGATGAGCAGATGTATAATAGACAACAAGAGAGTAGAATCATATGAAGAAAAAAAAAAAGGAAAGAAGAGAACGTAATAATCGTTGGTCTTTTTCTTTTTTTTTTCTATTTTTAAACAACGTCATATCATGCTTGTTATAGTCCTATTATCTAGAAAGCAACGTGGAGATCTTTCTCGTAGACTTTTCTGTATTTCTTTCAAGACGATGAAAGCGTCGACAATATAATCAAGCGAGTGAAGGATGAAAAAACATTCTAAGAAACACATGTTTGTAGGTATTTTTTGTACGCATTAACCTATGTATCATAATAAAAGTAATAATTATCAATGTCTGACATCTATATTTCTATAGATGTCATTTAAATATTTCTTTTTTATTTTTGTAAATATTTTTATTTTTGTAAATATAATTTTAACAATTTATTTTAATTATTTTTCTTTATTTAAAATATATTTATTTCTAATGAGGATATTAACTAATTTTTGATTGCTTAATAAATGTTTGTAACTTGTGATAGATGAGAAAAAGAAAATAAACAACAAAAAAAAAAAAAAAAGCAACGAGAAAACTTGCGTTCTTTTACTTTCCATCATATTTCGAAACTAATTGTTTTTTGTTTTCATAGATTATTACATCAATTACATATCTCTTCTTAACTTTTAATTCTTAATATAATCGATACACATACATATATATATAGAATTTATTTCTAATCAACTCTTTATTCAATCTAAATTTCATTCGTATTCATTCAAACTGTCCACAAATCAGTTTCAAGCCGTTGGGCCGAATAGAGCTGGTATTGTCAGCTTGTCTGATGATGCTGCCGCTATCGTTTCTACCAACGTTAGTGATTTACCTAAAACTTCAATAAATAATAAATGGATACCACAAACATTATTACGTTCACATCAACAAACAAATACTAATATAATACGTACACAAGAAGAAAAAGATAATGATGTTTTTCGTCGATGTCGTGCTTTACTTAATAAATTAACACCGGAAAAATTTGATAAACTTGCTGATGATTTAGCTAATCCATCATTTGGAATTGATTCACCACATTTATTAAAAGGAGTTATTTTACTTATATTTGATAAAGCATTAGCTGAACCAAATTATTGTTCATTGTGTAAGTTACTTAAATGAAATTTTTTATTATTTTTAAAAATGTATATCACGTTCTGATCTAACGTTGAATACATACATATTAGAGAGTATGTGGTTAATTTCTAATTGTAAGCATGTGAGTATAATATTAGAACAGTTATTTTACAAATGTATATTAAAAGAGAAGAACTTTTTCATAAATAATTTTTAATGAAAAATGTGAACAATTTTTATATACTTTGTACTTTTCGTATAGAACAATGAAGTCATTTTACGGTAAAAGTTCAAAGTATAAAACATATAAATTATACCATTTAGCTCTTAATATAAATATTTATTTAATGTTTTTTTTTTTTTTATATAAAATCTTGCAAAACAATCGAAAGTTGAAATAATTATATTAGAACGAGCTAAAATAGAATACATACTTAAACATTAGTGTTTTATTTATAGTTTTTCTTGTGTAAGAAAGAACGCAATCGTTATAGCTAGAAGAAGACGTTATCTCGTCTAGTTTTTCTTACCATACCAAATAGAATATTATTTATTAACATACTTATTTCATCATATGTTCGTAAATTTATTTATCATTTTTATTAAATAATTAAAAATGATTTATATCGTTTTATTTATTTGAATAAATGAATCTAGCTGCAAAAAACAACAACATCGGTTCTAAATATAACAAATGTCGAGGCTTTTTTTTTTTTTTATGATGCATATCTTTGCAAATATGAGACCATAAAAATATGTTATCTTTTCCATCTTAATAGACAGTCAATTATATAGTGGTTGCAAAAAGTATTTAAACTTTAATCTTTTTGATTATAAATAGAAAATATGTTGAACTATGATCGCAACAAATAATCATCTTTCATTCGATGAAGTTAAAAACGTTATCATAGATTTTTGTTTTTCCTTCAAACGAGAACATAGAAAACAAAGTATGATATTATATGATTGTAGTTTGTTTGATTTATGAACTATTTTTTAGGTAATCTTCATATTAGAGTTGACAGGAATATTCGAAAAAATATATTTAAATAGTAAAAAAAAAAAACAAAACCAGTATTTTCATTAAAACTTATCAATCTTAAGTTGTTTCTTGCAATTAGAGCTTATAAAACTTTATTTGTAATCAAAATGATTGAAGTTTTATCTGTTAAAATAGAACTACATTAGATTATTTTCTTTAATTAAGAAAAGATCAATTTTTTTTATTAGACTGTAAAAATTTGTTTATTTATTTTTTATTTTTTGAATATAGATGCTGAATTGTGTCGTCGTTTGGATCGTGACGCACCAAATTTTGAACCAGCTGATGCACCTATTCGAACATTTCGTCGTTTACTTTTAGCTAAATGTGAATACGAATTTGAAAATCGTATTCTTCTTGGACAATCACCAACAACAAATACAAATTCAAATACAACTGAAGACGATATGAATCCACAAGAAGCCCGTATTCAAGCTCGTAAAAAAGCTATTGGAAATATAAAATTAATAGGTGAATTAGGTAAACTTGATCTTGTATCAGAAGCAATATTACATAAATGTTTAAAAACATTATTAAAACGTGGTACAAATGAAAATTTATCTGAACGTTGTGAAGATCTTGAATGTTTAAAAAAAATAATACAAACAGTTGGAAAAAAATTAGATCAAGGACAAGGAAAAAATCTCATGGATCAATATTTAGAACGTATTAAAAAAATTCAAACACAAAATGATTTACCATTACGTATTAAATTTATTTTACAAGATATTATTGATTTACGTTCAAATAATTGGATACCACGTTTAGCATTTATTGAAAAAGAAACAAAATTAACTGATGATGATGGTAATCAACAAACACAAATAACATATAAATATCAACCAACACATACAATGATTCCATCATTAGCAAATCCATTTGCTTATTCATTTCAAACATCATCAACACCAACAAGTCTTTTTCAACGAACACCATTTCATCCTTCAATTTTACAACGTCCTAGACCAACACAAGTCACTTCAGATAGATATCAATTTGAAAGACTTAATCCTTTATCAACAGGTATAGAAGAATTTCTATATAATTATGTTGAACAAGGATGTTCGCACTTTTCAATCGAGACTATAGTTATAGAAAAACTGATTTTCAATCCATTGAAGAACTATCTGGATTTTCAGATGTTAAAGTCAAAATTTTTTTTGCGAATTTCACTATAGCTATGAAGTGTTCGCTGTCAAATGTCATACAAAATGAAGATTTGTTTTATTGTTAGCTAGTACTTTAATTAAAGTCAATTATTGTGTTGTGATTATTCTTTATATGCTAAATTCTCCTAATGATAATATACAAAGATTCTAATACATACAGGAAAATTTGTTTTTCTTAAAACCAATTATGCAGAATTGTCTCGACTTTTCCAATAGAACGATTTTCTCAGCCTTTGTAACCATCCAGATAGTCCCTCGATGAAAGTATTTGAGAATGAGAATTTCAGAAATCCTACATAGAAGAATCCTTTTGTACTCTATTTTTATGTAATATTTTAAGTCGAAATTCGAAAATCAATTTTTCTGTTACTATAGCCTTCATCTAAAACATATCATAATAGTGCAGTATTTCTTCACTGAATAGTTAAGAGTACGAATCCTTTATCAAAATATTCATATAGTCTTAAGTCAAAAACGATTTATCATTTGAAGAATTTCCCTTGAGAATATTATCGAAGACAAATCAGAGATGAATTTTATTTTTCTGATTATCAATATTATGTAACCTAATACGTGAAATTTTTGAGTAATTTCATTCTATTTGCATAGCCGAAATACAAAAGAGACCTTACGAAGATTTAGTGAAAATTTTAATAGCATATGTAACATATACAAATTATTGACAAAAGAATTTGAATTATATAGAATGTATCATAATCTATCGTATACGTGATAGTATATATTAACAGATTCCGAAATAACTATTTATGTTATGATGTATAGGATTCATCTGCTCATTTTATAAGAGCTCAAACATCATACATGACAAGATTTTTTAGATAATAATCAAAATTATATAGATTACTAACTTAAACACATACTTAGTGTTATTTAACAAGTATTTATTAATTAGAATGTTGAGTTTGATAGTATAATAGATAAGCGTTATGATTTAATGATAGACGATTTTGATGCTATAAATGATTATATAGATAAATTTGGTAAAACGAACGATGAAGAATATAGACCGGAGGATAGAATAAGATATACTTTCTATAAATAGTATCATTATCTTTTATCAGTTATTTTCATATAGTATAAATTTTATTTTGTCAGTGCGTGTCTTGTCTTATTGTTTTTCCTACTCTATTCATTATATATATTTATTCTATGTTGCATTATTACATATTATTAGACACTTCACAACTCATGCTGTGTGTTCCTATGCAATAACAGATTATAAATTCTACTCATAGTATTATAATAAAAATGCAATATGGATATATATATATATACTCAATCCGGATTTCTAGTTCATTGAATTGATAGTTTGTTTTTCTTTCTATTGAGAAGGATCATTTGTCTTGAGAAGAAAATCAAGTAAATTTATCAATTCAATAACGTTCATTCGAATAATCTATGATAAAATAATGACTCTTCGTTTGTCCTTATATAATATATTTCTTGTGTTAAAAAAAAAAAGAAGCATAGCGTGTAAAATGATCTATAGATCATTTTGTATTCTTTTGATTTATAAATGCAAAGTTCTACATTTGTCAACTTTGAATATATTCAACATAATCACGCAAAAAATCTAATCGAGTCTATTTGATAATTTTGCAAAATTGAATTAACGAAAGCTTAGCTTAATTAAATTTAAGTGATAGAATTTCATCGTAAATTATTTGTTCAACTCTTTGAGTCAATATATAGAAAAATTTCTAGTTTGAAACAAAGTTTCTAAGACATCCTCAAACAAATAGACAATAGTAGATAATGCAGCCTTAAAGTCTTATGAAATTTCATGATATCTGTTGTTTATTCAATTGTTCTCGACATTTCTCCTTACTCATTCAATATTTCTTTACTATTTGAATCATTAATAACAGTGTTTCATCTAGAGGAATGCTCGGAGGGGCGGCGCCCTTCCGAAAATCGAGGTCGCCCCCAAGACTCGCGCGATGAACTATATGGCTTGCCTTTCCGAAAAAATTTTTCACCCTTCCAGAATTTCAAATCGTCCCTCCGAAGCAAAAAAAATCTGAATAAAACATTGATTAATAAAATTTATTTATTATTTCAAAGAACCTGAATTACCAAATGCTCCTACATCACGTCAAACATATCGTTCAACAAATTCTCCTAAATCTCGTCTTCGTCAACATGATAATTTAACTAATCCTTTTGATAATCAATCTAAAGATAATGATTTATCCAATAAATTATCTAATGGAAATACAAATCGTTCATCAAAATCTCCAACATATACAAATGGTTTACCAACAACAAATGGATCAACAAATCGTCCAAATTCATCATCATCATCATCATCATTCAGTCTTCGTCCAAAACAACCAATAAATAATCGTATACCAATGACTGATCGTGAAGAAATGGATTCACCTATAATATCTAAAACAACGAATGATTCAAATAAAAAACCTACATCAGAAATTCTTGCTAATCATCCATTAACAAAAAATATGAATAATTTATCATCATTAATTAAATCAAAAGATTCTCATCATCATCATCATCATAATATATCAATAAATAAAAATTTAACACAAACAGCTTCAACAATGACACGTGATGAATTATTTTTAAAATATAATACATTTTTTCAAATGTCATTAAATGATTTTGATATTATACTTAATGAATTACGTACATTAAAATTATCTAAAAATCAAATTATTGAATTTATTCAATATTTATTTGATCAATCATTACATGAACATAATAAAAATATTTTATTTATTACACGTTTATTAATTTATTTATATAAAAATACATTTATTACAAATAATCAATGTTTAAATGTTCTAATAAATATACTTTCAAAAACTCATGATTATGAAAAAGAATTATCATTATTTAAATCTGAATTAGCAACAATTATTGCAAATATTATTTGGACTTGTCTAACGAATGATCAAGATGGTATAAAAAACAAAAAAAAACAACAATAACATTGATTTTAAATTATTTTGTTTTTTTTTTCTTTTGCTTATTCAATTTTAGATTTATCATACAAAAGTAATGGTAATAATACTTCGAAAAAGAATACAACAACATCATCATCATCATCATCAGTCTTATTATCATTAAATGATGTATGTGAGTTACTTAAAGATGGACAACATCATCCACTTTTTCTTCTTTTACTTCAACAACTACAACAACTTTTTAATAATGATGAAAATTATATGTAAGTATAGTAATTTTTACCTCGATACTTCAACATTTCTTGTAGATCGTGTTTAATAAAATAGTTGTAGGGAGAACTCACAAGGAGAGTCACCAAACTGATCGGTTGAGGCTATGCATATCATATAAACCTTCATAAGTTATAAATAACGAGATTGTCTGAACTTGTTTTTTTGAAACTTATTGAATACTAGACTAGAACAATTATCCAAGTCTTAGTCTTTTAATTGAGATATGAATGTTTCATAATGAACAAAAAAAATGTGTACAGCTTGTGGTGACTGAACTACCACGCCTTAATCATCCTCGTTGACAAACTCTATATATTAGGAACTTATAAAAAACAAAATGTCAGTTGTAAAATATCATTTGTTTTATTTGCCTATATCATACTCATTCAATTTCGAAATCAAAGTGTAACCGATGTTGGTTAACAATAATCCTGATAATTACATTATACACTTAAATTTGTGCATCTACGTTCGATTACATCAGGTGACGGACATTTCGAACTCCAGACATGTATTCGGGTGTTCGGAAATGACTTTTTGCCGTAATAAATATTCAACGGGAGTTCGTAATGATTTTTGAACAGGAGATCGGAAAGACGTTACTGGGAATTCGGAATGGAATGATCATTACTATATGCGGAGTAATGTTTAAGAATCGCGATGAAAAAGACGGGATGTTCGTAATCCAATTTACCAGAAGATCGTAACTGATTTATTCTGATATTCGCAACGGTCATAAAGACTTTTCTTTCTTTTTTTTTATAAAATCAAGAATGATTCATACAATACCTTCGTAATTATATAAACAACATCTACCTTTTCCTGTCTCTATACATAACGCTATAATAACTGTACAAGATGTTTATGAGTTTTGTGCTTTAACCTATTCATAATGTTGATAATTGATAGCATCAATCTCTGGGGAAATGAACTACTATATAATTAAAAGTCTCTACGTTCAAAAATTATTGACTAGACGAGTGAGGGTGTGAGGGTGACGTCTTCTATTTACTGACCCTCATCCACGCTCACACTCCACATCCTCATTCGTCGTTTGTGTACTATCTTAGAATAGAAACTAATGTCCATTTCAGAGATAAATGGCCGTGGGTATTTTTCGAATA